CAACGGTTTTAACCTGGACCAATCTCCCTCCCTCAAGACGGAGGGCAGCTCACCCGTGGAACCGCAAGCCTGGCAGTTGGCTCCAGAAACCTACGAAAACGACTCAGTCACGACTGTCGAGTATCAGCCCCTGAGCACAGAGCTCCTCGCCTCAACTTCCTACCAGTCCTCCGAGGGCGTCAGTTGCAGTAACTATGCCTACGTTTCTATTGCGCCTGCTGCTGCAGCTGATGAGACCAAGCCTGCGCTGAAACCCGCCTCCCCGGAGGCCAACAGTGCTTGCACCTTCTTTGACAACTTGACGACGACTTGTGACGAAAGTTGCAGTGAGGAAATGCTGGTGGCCATCAAGGTCCTAAACGATGCCACAGATTCGAACACCTGCAAGGAACTGCTTGAGGAGGCTCGCGTAAGTTTTTCGCACTGGGGTGTAGTTTGTTTAGTTTGTCACACATAACTACCTACTTATTACATACTAGTAAGCATGTTTTGTTTTACTACTTTGTACTGGCGTCAGTTGTGTTATTCACCCCATAGTTTGGAAATAACGGTTTTTTATTGGAGACCCAATTGGTTATTTATAAAAAGCGGGTTTATGCTGTGCTCAGAACCCCATCCGGCAACATATCCCGATGTCAGTTGAGCCAGCCTTGTTGAAGATAAAAGCAATTCGTTTACTGATAGGCAGTCTATAAACATTACATAAACATTCCTTGGGACTCAGTGGTGATGGAGGAGGCCCACATCTTCACGGTGCCGCCTGAAACTGCATTCAGGATGGATGATTTAAGTACGGGTAGTTTGTACAGTGAATAAACCCCCCGTGAAGAGTTTATTTTGGCATACTGAGGCTCCAAAGCGGTAGTTAGAGGTGCATTTGTCATCGTTCCTTTAGTTCAACTGTCCTATGATGGTACACAGGCATTCACTGCTTGTATGTTGCTAAAATAAGGCCAATAAAGCTTACTTTACTCATAACCGGTTGTCCTTGGTGCAATAATTGCCAGTATTCCGGTGATTTCTCGCCGTGCGTGCATCCCTCGGGTTTTCTGGGGCTGAACGTCTTATCCTCATTGTGGGGTTTTTCATCCGATCCTTAGTAATAAGGACTGTACCAGAAAGCTCAACGTGTATAATGGCTTAAACCATGCAGGTAATGGCCTCCGTGGATCACCCCTGTTGCCTTCGTCTTCTCGCCCTCTGCATGACGGCTAGACCCCAACTAGTCACCTCCTTTATGCCGCTGGGCTGTCTCCTAAACTACCTGATCCGACAAAGGGTACCCCAACAACTGCGGGCTCCCAGCGACCGAACTCAAGCCACGCCGGCGAGCATGCTTCTCTGGGCCGAACAGATCGCCAGTGGCATGGCGTACCTTGCTTCCCGTGGCATCATTCATCGCGACCTTGCAGCACGCAATGTCCTGGTAGAGAGTCCCACTCAGGTAGGTCGATGAGGTCTTGAAAAGTTTGCACTGTCACAACATGCCTACTTATTAGATTTCGGTAGGCATTTTATATTAAGGTTACGTTTCTGACTTAGACCGCGTTACCCCAATCCCTCCTTATATAACCAATAACCATGGGGTTCCTACTTTCCGTCAGCTTATATGTCCCCTACTTTGTACTTTTCATACTAAACGTCTATTCTAGTGCCTGATTTGAGTAATAACACAAACTTATTCTCGAAATGCGAGAATTTCCGGTGATTTCCGCAGACTCCATTAACTGCCTCATTCACCTGACCCACTGAAAGAACTAATATTAACACCTTTGCCGTTTCACCAGAGTCCGTGTAAGTCATTAAGCTTACATACTAGATCCTTGCCATATATTATTTTGTTTTTTAAGGGAGTACAAGCGTCATGCTTATATACTTCAACGTAATTTCAATTTTTAGCAAGAATGATTAGTGAGGCCTAAAAAATATGTTCGACTTATAATGAAAAACTACATCCTTCTCTACAGTAGGCATATGTATGTGCATTTTTCATTATTATTACTAACGCCAAGTTAAAAAACGAAAAAAATTTTTGGCCTGACCTACCATTCTCGCCCAACTTTTAACCAATAATTTCTCGACCAAGAGTTCCGCTCATTTTGAGTATGCAGAAATCGGCAAATTAGCGAGAGTGAGTCACTGATTGCTGCAGTTAAGGTAGAAAATTTGTCTGATGCCAAGGAAAGAAAATAGCATCAATATATTTGAACAGAATCTGTGAGATACAGCCAAAATGTCTACAGCGACGCTCCCTATTTTAAAACAAGGCACCATGCCAGCAAGCAGCTGAGGTCGACTCAAAGGTAGCTCACCAGGCTTTCCCAGTGGGATTTATGGTATATTCCAATTTCTAAGCCTAGGTCTCTTAGTATGTCGAGCAGTTACTTTGTGCAGGATTACTGAAATAATGTGAAGTTCGATTGTTCAAACCAAACTGGTCTCTTACGACAGAGTTCCATTTTTAGGATTTGTTGTATCACGACATGTATATGTATATTTAAATGACATAACCGGCAGAGACAACGGAGAGTGTAAAGACCTTTTCTAGGTCATAAGCCGTCATCAGCCAGTCGTATCCAACCCCGAGTGGTACCCCACCTTAGGTTCAAACCCACGAACTTGCTCTAACCACTGCGCCATGGGGTCGTTGTCTTGCTCGTGTCGATCAGGAATATACATAGTGGCAGATAGGCGCTCACTGACTTGTTACAGGAATCACTCATGCCGTTATGCCTTCGGAATTACTCTCGAGCCCCGCTAGCAACCGCACAGCGGCTAATGCCTGAGGTAGAATGACATAAGAGAGACTACAATGACTGTTTCTGGCTCATTAGCCATCATCAGCCAGTCATACCGAACCCGATGTCACAAACGGATGAATGAGTTCTGCAACCGATCGGTGAGCACCTATATGCTACTTCGTATACTTTAATATATGCAGGAAGACATTACCGACAAAGACTTGGGACACTAGAATGGCCATTTCTGGCTCCTTAGCCGTCTTCAGCTAGTAATACCCAACTCCAGTGTTGCCGCTGAATTTGCTGCCACACTCGAGTTTCGAACTCGCGTCTCTCCGGTCAGAGGCAATATTCCTAACCATTGATCTACGAGCTCGCAGTCCTTCTGCCTATATCCTGGCCGCCTCGCGGTGGAGGCTCAAGTGAGAGCTCTAATGGCAGATCGGTGTACGCATATATGCCTCTGTATATCCCTGATCTAATACCGGCAAGACTGCGAACGCGTAGCTCAAAAGTTAGAACGTTTGCCTCTGACTGGAGAGACGCGAGTTCGAAACTCGAGTGTGGCAGCAATTTCAGCGGCAACACTGGAGTTGGGTATCACTAGCCGACGACGGCTAATGAGCCAGAAAAGGCTATTCTAGTGTCCCATGTCTTTGTTGGTAATGTCCTTCTTCCTATATCCTAGTCGCCTCGCAGTGGAGGCTCGAGTGAGAGCTCTGATGGCAATATGGACGGATGAGTATGTCCTCTAACAGATTGGTGTACGCGTATCTGCTACTGTAATATATGCCTTGGAGTTTTCAGTTCTGCGGGCAAAAGACATTTATATTTCTGGTATATGCGTCCTTGATTTTTTTTCAGTTGATTTTATACATGAAGCGGTATTGGCAGAGGGCTTTATTATGCATTAAGCGACAACCGTCAATGATACACGCTGTCTATAAACCGTGTGTTCACAAACATAACATAATCAAGAATTTGTGCCAGATATGACTATGTAGCACCAGTTTACGAGGATGTGGGTAGGCTCAATGATTAACGTTCATCCGACCACAAACGGAACTCATCTGTCCCGCTCTGCCTTGGGCCTCGACAGACGCCCTGACAGGCGTAAAACCTGGTAGTATAGGCAGACAGCAACTGTCAAGGCTCAGGTGTGACACCGTTTGGGTCTGGGTATGACTGGCTGACGACGGCTAATAAGCCAGAAATGGGTATTCCAGCCTCCTTTATTTTCGCCGGCAATTGCTATTCCCCGTTTGGCAGACCCTAGTCTATATTTTTATTAAGTTCAAGACTAACATTGGAAAGATTTATCTTGCGTAATCATTTGACTGCATGAGAATAGTCTTTAAAAAAATAAAAAAACGTGGTGTTCCTTTCACCTATTCTTTCTAAAAAGTTTTCCATTGTCTGCTGTGTACATTTTAGGTTAAAATTACGGATTTTGGCCTGGCTAAATGCCTCGAGAATGTCGGAAGCGAGTACAAGGCGCACGGTGGGCGAATGCCAGTTAAGTGGCTTGCCCTAGAGAGTATACGGTTGCGTATTTTCTCCAGCAAGTCTGATGTTTGGAGCTATGGTGAGTAAGAAAGTATGGTAACTGTCTGCGATGCATGCATGAAATACATGTTACTAAAATTTGTCAGTAGGCAGTTTTATTTTCATTTGTAAACTAATTTAATTTTTTTACTATCAGGTGTCACACTCTGGGAAGTATTTACCTTTGGGAAACGGCCATTCGAACACCTAAGTGCACGCTCTCTGCTGCAGCATCTGGAAAGTGGACAACGTCTCTGCCAACCACCCAGTACAAACCTCGATTTGTATGCGCTGATGGTTAGCTGTAAGTTTACAGAATTTACCTGTATTTCTTCTGAAAGTTGATTCATGCTTTGGAGCATATGTTTCCTGTAGAGTGTTGTGAAACACCAGCTTCTACTGTGTAGCCCTAAGAAAGGATAGTTATGCGTACGTAGGGAGAGAGAAAAAAATTCGTTATTTTGAAAGTAATATCCAAATTTTTGAGCAAAAAATGGCTCCATTCAGGGAGAGCAAGGGATAAGGTAAGGTAAAGGCTATAGAATACTCAAAGTCTAGAGGTTTACATGGTATCCACATCTTTTATGCAGGCAGGTCTAATCTCGGCTTCCAAATTTCCGTTTATTCACAGGTGAGGTAGCGTGCTAAAAATGGGAGGACAGAGTGCTGATATGCCGATGTACTGCATGACATATGATGGAAGCTTCGGCGCATTGTACGGGAAGACATCGCAGCCATTAGTTCGGAGTGGAGGTGGTGGACGACCTCACTAATGCTGTGATCAGCAAATTACTTGACCGTTTTAAAGTGGCGCTGTACTGCAATGTCAGCTAAAAAAACATGGGAAACACCGGCAGCTGAAGAGAGCATTCGGAGGATATATTTAAAATGACAAGGTATTTTTTTTAAGTTAAGCTGGAAAAACAACTGGAGAGCAGTACAAAAATGAGGAGAAGAGTGCAGGCATCTATAAATTGCCAGATTAGGGCTTGCGGTGAACGCAAGTGGCGGATATAACATAAACGTTTACGGATTTTAATAAAGAGGCCTTCAATATGAAGGATAAATGAGAGGTTAGAGGTGCAGTCCTCCCGTGGTTCTCCGTTAGCTGAATAGGTTACTTGTCGCTACGTGACTGCCTGAGAGTGCTCTATGCTGATCCAAACGCACAATAGGATGAGCAGGTTTTTGTTATCCAACTCTGTGTGCCTAATGCTCAGTCTGTCGCCACTCTCTGGAAAAATCCACCGATGGCTTTGCGGTGTTTGTGGTCAGCCGACGTTGGCAGGATCCTGCTCACCTTGACAGAGGAACAATCAGTTG